ATTCTTGAGTTAAAGAATAACCAAGAAATACAAAGTTGGAGTGGGAATCAAGTTGTGGGAAGTGTATGGTCTAAGCCAAGGGTAACATAGGCATATATTTTTAAAAGAGAGGAAAATTTATTGGGGGGGTAGCATTTGATTTAAGTATACAAGGCATGCATGAGACCAGTAGTAGAGGAGAGAAGGCATGAGATAATAATGCTAAACCTGTTTCAACTATGTGAAGTGACGTTTTTAGAGAGTCCATTGTTCATTTTTTGAGGTGGTATAGTGCGTGGAGATACCATTGGTAACAAAATTAGCAAGAGAGATGTATCACCCCCATTATTAGAGTAGAGAGTTTTAATGTTTTCATCAAAGTATTTTTCTACGATGGCTTTAAATTGAATGAAAAATTTTTAACTTCTGACTTTTGCTTAAGAAGGTAAAACTTAATATTTTTGTGAAGTAATCAATAAAAATGACATAATATTTAAAGCCGTCTGTGTGATTATTGGTGAAGTCAAAATTAGAGAATATATTTCAAGAGGTTGAGAAGAGACAAGTATAGAATTAGAAAAAAAAAAAAAAAAAAAGACAATTTGTAGCTTTTATTACAAAACATTACAACAAATAATATTTCTTACAAATTTAACAAACAAGTAGAATCAGGAACGTTGTTGAGAAGTGAGAAATAAGAAAGTGAAAGAAATTAATAATAGATAATAACATAAATTCCCTTGAACATACAAGCAAAAACTCCAAGTAGTACGAAAAATCAGACTTATGAATACAACAACTTTAAAGAAAACAATTTTTACAACATCTAGGACCCCAAACTTCTTATCATAAGAAACATGGAGGAGATAATGTCCATTGTTTTTAGTACCTCTCTGGAACTGAAACACAGCCAACTCTTTCAGCGAGTAACTGTTCAGGACTCATTGGTTTGCCATCATTCCTATATTTTTAATGTAAATGGAACCCGATGTTGGTTTGCTTAGTCCTGCAAGAAGCTAGAGGGAAAGAAAGGACGCACACTCAAAATATAAAAAACAAGGATTAACAAATTGAACAGTAAGAACTTCTGAAGAAAAAAACATTAGAGGGGTCACCGCAAGAGATGAGTTTTTTCACTTCCACTCTGTCCAAAATCAAGCCAAAACTGCAGCAAATGACACAATACATTTATTCCATGAACAAAGCACTTGCTTTGAAGCAACCATCTAACAGATATGGAGAATTCTGCCGCTAGCATAATGTAGTTAAGAAATATGAGTACAATGTGAACATTTGTTTCACATCTATTATGCAAAAACATCACAAAATCTCCAACAATTTAACATGCAAATAGTAAGTATAGATCCAAATAGTTTAATAAAGTTGAAATTAAATTAAAACCTATATAACATCAAACGGTAAGTATAGCGCAAGAATCTTAGATGAACCAAAACGTAAAAATATAATTTGTACTAATATACAACATTTTAAAGAATATGTAACAATACACACCAAATAAACAACCAAATGATTATCTAGTCCAACTTTTTAATGAATATTTACCAAATAAACAATGTAAAACAATTTTAAAACAATCAATAACACATTTGTTTTCATAAACTCAAGATGAGAATAAAAAAAATTATTTTTCACAAATACTCATATAAACCATCGATTTAGGACATTATTACACTAACTTAAAAGTGCAGTACGGCACAATATTGTAATAAAAGCACTCATTTCACAAAGAAAGCAATGGTCTCAACAAGTCGATTTCAAACATCAAGAATCATGTCTTGCGGATCCTTTTGTTTGAATTGAGAGGACGAGAGAGGCGTAAAGAAAGCCGGAGTATGCCCAAAGATATCTTTAATAGGTAAGAGAGACACTAAAAACTTGGAGTATACCCAGAGATATTTTTTTAATGATTCAATTGTATTATATTGGATTATTTTGAATTGTGAATACATCACCAATTTATACAAAATTTTTGCTATACAATAGGAAATAAATAATATAATTACACTCAATCAGGGATTAATTGGTAGTGATTTTGGGTAATTGGCTAATCTTAGTGATTAGCCACAATCAGGCATTCATATTTCATCACTCCCCCTCAAGCTTGTGATTTGTATAGGTCATAAACTCCAAGCGGGTAGTGGATGTGATATTGTCTACAATTAGATATGGATAAGTATACCCAAGGAGGGAGCTGGAATGGTTTACAGACATAGTCAACTTCCAAATGGAGTTGAGTGAACGGGAGGTCGTGCTGAGGGACTATCTCCAAGGAGGAATAGTGGGAGTCACTGGGGAAGATGTTGGTGAAGATTTTGCCAGAAAAGGTTAACAGGAAGATTTTGTTTTGGTGGAGGTGTTTGTCTGCAAACAAACCATCCACAACTTGAGGAAAAATCCGAACAGTAAAACTCTCAATCGCTTATACTTGGGTAAACCATGTGGAGAGCACAAAGGCCTTGTCCTTGGCAATATTCTGAGTGCCTATGTGTCTAACAGGCTGAAGCAACTTAAGGCTAGAGTGGGTTGATTAGCAGAAGCTTGATTATGGAAGAAGTTATCTAACTTGAGTGCTATGTGTCTTGCAGTTGAAGGAACTTGAGGCTATAGTGGGCTGATTAGCGAACAACTTATAACCAGGATATTAGCACGTGCAAAAATGATTCAATATACACCAAGAAATTTCCAGAAATATTGGGAGATCACAATTGTCTTACTTAAAACCCAGTCTCGTAGACTTTATATCGACTTGTTGACAAAATTTTCCTGAAAATGGATATATCCATATAACTAGCTACTCATGTCCTAAACTTAGGCTAGAGTGGGTTGGCAAAGCTTGGAGATGACCATTGAAAAAAAAAACTAACTGGTATATGTTTGAGTTAAGGACAAAAAGAGAGGAGACCAGTATTGTGTTAACTGAGTATCCTTTGAATTGCAAGGACAAAAAAGATAGGCTAGCTGACGAAGCTATTCAACTTGGAAGCTCCTATACCATGTTAGAATTGAGAGGGCAACAGGCAATTGAAGAGAGCGGAGTATGCCCAAGTGTATATTTAAGAGGGCAAGAGAGATACTACAAGGTAGAGTATGCTCGAAATATATCTTTAGTAATTTAATTGTATCATATTGAATTATTTTGAATTGTGAATACATCACCTATTTATACAAAAGTCTAGCTATCGAATAAGAAACAAAATGTATTACACTTAAAGAGATTCTTGTTTTGTAATGTACTTTTTTTAAATCTAAATGAATCGAATGTACCTTTTAAATCTAAATGCATCGAACCTTGAGTATAATAAATTCGATACAACATATTTGTTCCTATGTATTCAAGCTCAATCGTTTCTTCTTCTCCTTACAGAATCTCATAATTAGGGAGGAAAAACGGTATGACCCGAATGTCCTTTTTACTACCCAACCCGAATATTGGTTGTGTGAAATGGTATGGTAACCAACCGTTTATGCAATACCCGAATATGGGATACCGAATTTCGGTTCGGTTACTAGGTACCCAAATGTAAAACCCGAATTTCCAATATGCATCCAACAAAATTTCAAATTTCTTCACATTTTAATCAAACATAAAATGTTAATTAAACTTGTAATATTTCTTCTAAACAAAAATTGCAATGTTCTTCCAAACTTCCTCAATTTTAATCAAACATAAAATGTTTCCACACTAAACATAATGTTTTACATAAACCAAACATAAATGTTTCACACACCATTACACCAAACATAAAATGTTTACATAAACCAAAACAAATATTTTAACACAAAAAATAGAAATAATTCTTCACAATAAAAAGAGCCCAACGAGACATTATCAAATACCTTTTGTGATAGAGAAGTGGAGCAATTGGTAGAGAAATGGAGAAATAAGAATTGATGCAAAGTGGAGACTGGAGAGAACAAGATGCGAGTAGTGAGCTAAATGGAGATAGAAGAAGAAGATGCGAGAAATCAGTGCTAGTGGAGACCGAAGAGAATAGAGAATGGAGAGATTAGTGGAGAGAAAATGTAAATGAAGAGAAATTACTGGAAGTTGCGAGGAGAAATGTAGAGAAAGGGGAAAATGGAAAAACGAAGAAGAAGGTTATTTGGTTTAGGGAAATTGATTTGGGAATTGGGATTTACATTTTTTGTTTTACTCTTTTTTTTTTTTTTTTTTTTTATTAAACAGTTTCAGGTACCCTTTATATTTTAAATACAACTGATATCTGATTGAAAACCGAATACCTACTTAAATACTATCTGAATCCAACTCATCGAGTATGAAAAAATTGTTTGATTCGATCATTACTATTAATTCGTTTGTTCGATTTCGGTCTTTTTTGTCCCCTCTACTCAATTGAGGTGGGTAAGGTTTTCAAAGGATTTCATTATGTTTGGTATGCGTTGTGGTTGCACTGCCTACCGTTAGCTCTCATGACAATTATTTCTCACAAAAAATGTGTGAAATTAAGTTAAATATTATTTTTTTCTTGTTTTCGTTCTGACATGATGGATGAAAATCTTCCTAATTATGATTTGGTTCGTTTTCGAATACAATTACTTCCGATTTTATTCATTGATCTACGGGAATTGATGTTCGTCTTTATCCAATCAAGTTCACGGCATACTAACGGCAGGGAGGGTACCTTGGATAATTCACATAACACAGAACCAACTTATCTATTTGGAAACCAAAGGGGTAGTGGGGGTATTAATCCTTTAAAATTAAGAAAACAAACAGTTTAAAGATTTCTAAAGTTAATTTTTTTGAAAATTGATCAACAATGATTATAGGATAAGTTACTGCAATCCCAAACTAAACCTTAATTTATGTTTAATTATCGTGGACATGTCTAATTATTAAGGCAAGTTCAACATTATTAAGCGTTTTATTTATTGAAACAGTAAAGAAGGATTAAATCAAAACGTGGGCCTAATTCCTAAATAATGTGAAACCTTTACCTACGGGGGCCCAAAGACGATCACGTGACACTGACGCTGACATGGCAAAACATTTGGATTCTCATCACGTGAATTTGCCGAACGTTAAAGCGCCCAAACCAAACAATCGTCTACCGTTTATCATGGCGAGTTCGACTTTGGCGCTCTCCTCTCCGCTTCACTGGACAAATTTGAATTATCGAGCTTCATTTGTACCAATCACGCTCCAGGTAACAATCTACATAATTAGTTACAATTATCGTCTTCTCTATTTGCTTATTAATTTAGGTTTTGTTAAGTTTTTTGTGTTGATTCGATTAATTCCCTATTTACAGATTTATTTCCAAACTCAGGCTGTTGGAATCTCCTGTCATTATTCTTGCCTTGAAGTGAGTTTTTTTTTTTTTTTTTTGTAATTATTTTGTTTCATATATATTTTTTTAAAATATTTTGTTACAACATTAGGTTTTATTCTAGTTATTGAGATGGCTGTGAATTTACTTTTTAGTTCATAGATTGTTTATTAAATTATGAATAATTCAGTTAAGAGATTATTAGACTAATTTTGATTATTTTATGTGATGGTAATTATATTAATTTTGCTACTTCTATATTCGAGCACTGGTCATTTATTTGCTAGTACTACTAGTGACTTGTGAATTTATATTGATTGTGTAATTTTTTTCTTGCTGTGCATTAGCTTGTAGTGCTAGTTCATTTTTTTTTTTCTTGCATTTATTAAATTTTGTTCTTTAAGTGGATCTCAATGGTGAGTATTGGGAGAACACTATGATTAAAGTGTTGGAAGTTACTGAAACGAAATAATCTGTTACTTTAAGGTTAAGGATGTCTACTATCGACCCCCAGGGACCCAGCTCAACATTTTAAATGGAATTAGTTTCTCCCTTCCTGAGAAAAGGTATATGTTTGTGCTATGACTTCATTAGTAACAATTTATCATGTCCATGTGTTTCTTCTTTATTCAATTACTCCTGTTTAGAAGTTACATTTGGAAAGATTATAATGTCTGAAGACTATAACCTTAGAGCTCATCAACAGGTTCTCTATAAACCACTTCTCATATCTGTAATTTTGATAGTTTTGATGATCTACTAATGTCTTGGATTAAATTGTCTGGAGATTTTGTGATTTTTTTGCATAAGATGTTGAAACACCCTGTCTCATCTTGTACTCATATTTCTTAACTACACTATGCTAGCGGCAGAATTCTCAATATCTATTAGATGGTGGCTTCAAAGCAAGTGCTTTCTGTTTATGGACTAAATGTATTGTGTCATTTGCTGCAGTTTTGGCCTGATTTTTGGACAGAGTGGAAGTGGAAAAACTACTCTCTTGCAGGTTGACCCCTTCCTCAAATGTTTTTTTCTTCAGAAGTTCTTACTGTTCAATTTGTTAATCCCTTGTTTTTTTATATTTCTGAGTGTGCGTCCTTTCCTTTCCCTCTCAGCTTCTTGCAGGACTAAGCAAACCAACATCGGGTTCCATTTACATTAAAAAATATAGGAATGATGACAAACCAAATGAGTCCCCTGACTCGTTACTCGCTGAAAGAGTTGGCATTGTGTTTCAGTTTCCAGAGAGGTACTGAAACCACTGGACATTATCTCCTCCATGTTTCTTATGATAAGAAATCTGGGGTCCTAGATGTTGTAAACTTGTTTTCTTTAAAAGTTGTTCTATTCACTAAGTCTGATTTTTCGTACTACTTGGAGTTTTTGCTTGTGATGTTAAAGGGAATTTATTTTATTTATATATTACTTATTAATTTCTTTCACTTTCTTATTTCTCACTTGTCAACAACGTTCTTGATTCTACTTTGTATTGTTAAATTTCTAAGAATATATTGTTTTGCTAGCTAGGTATTTTGTGGCAGATACTGTGCTTGATGAAGTTATCTTTGGGTGGCCAAGGCAAAGTGGTGATCTTCAATTGAAGGAGTACCTTACTCTGAATCTCCAAAGAGCTATTAATTGGGTATTATTCTCCTTTCATTCTCTTCTCCCACCCCACACCCCACCCCCCCACCAAAACACACACACACCCTAACTCTTACAGTTGTGTTACTGTTTTCTAGATATTGACTTTGTTATGTGTGTTTGCCATTCTCTGTAACATATATTCAATTGATAATCCTAGGTTGGATTTGGTGGGATCTCTTTGGATAAGGACCCTCATTCTCTAAGTGGTGGCTATAAGCGTCGGCTTGCATTGGCAATTCAATTGGTAAGACCTTATCAATTACCCTACCCTAAATTGACACATGATTACATATGCACACAAATTTCTTTTGGTTCATTTTGTAAATTATGATGGACCTCCGTGAGAGATCCTTTAATATCATTGCCTCAGAATTTTTTTTCAATTAAAAATCCCCTTAAAATTATTTGAATGCTCCTTATAAGAGGGGTGTTTTTAGTAAAGAATTACCGCAAAACCCTTTTGGAAAAGTTTTTTCAGTAATTTTTAAAAAGATTGGGTGGTGATAAAATTTAAGGGTTTCTCTGGGGTTCAAATTTATTACCTTTTTCATTTTTGGCCATGGTTTTAAGAAATTTCTATTTCTAGTTATGCATGACTGTGGCATGATTTGACTGCTAAATGGTGATTATTTTAATTCTCCAGGTACAAATCCCAGATTTATTGATATTGGATGAACCTCTTGCTGGTCTGGGTATGAAAGCTCGTTCATTGCTAATGTTCTGAATTATTGTTCCTTTTTGTGTAAATATATAAATTTAGACAGCATCAGAAGTCAATCTAATAATTAAGCATGCATGATCCCTGTAATCTACAGCTTTATGTTACTAAACTGCTTGCACGTGCCGTCCTACATATTGTCTTATTTAGGAGCACTTTGGTCTTGGGAACAACTTATTCACCCAAAAATAGTACATCAACCCAAGATCTTTGAGAGAAAACGTTGAGCAAGAGGACCACAAACTGATTAACCATGGTAGTAACTATTGCTAGTGACTATTAACCATCAACATAAACTAAGAGGTACATAGTAGCACTAGTATGGAAGACAAACAAAGAGTATCAACATGGGAATTCTTAAAGCCCGAATGGAGAAAGGTACGAAGTTTCATGATATGCCTGAGGGCTGTTTGAGACATAGATGGCTTTTGAAGCTTGCAACAAAAGATATTGCTTAATCAAGAATTCAGGCGGTTGACTCATGTAGACATCCTAGATAGATGACTTAGAAAAATGCATTATGGTATTAAATTGTCATAGTGACTAGCCACGACACAAGTCAAATAAGAACCACTTGATCTGTGGTAGGCTTAACAACTGGACCTCTGGAGAAACATATTATTGACATCAAATTGTCATAGTGACCAACCACGACTCACAACCAAACTGAGAACAACTTGAACTGTGGTAGCTTAACAATTGGACTGAAATGTCCTATAATTGACCTAGTGTGATGAAAACCCTTTACAACCAAACGCCTTGAACATGTCAATAGAATCATCAAATTGACGTTTAGCTATGAAAATCCACTAACAACCAAAAGATTTTGATGAAGATTAGGTGGTACTAGTTCCAATGCCTATTTCGTACGAGAGCATCATACTCTTCAAACATGCTTGATGCCACTTAGGATCTCGTAAGGCTTAAGTTATTGCGTTAGTTCAAGGTCATTGGGTGGATAATTGAGTATAAGTTTCAACTTTTTGATAGTTAGTGGATGTATTTTTTGCTCTAGTGATCATTCTGTGAGTAGGTGTGGTGGAGTCACGGTAGGTCATAGTGGTAAGGATGGCAAGAATAGAAGGTGTTAGGGTCACCAGAGGTGCTGGAGTTGCACACTAGGACTGTTGAGGGACACTACTTTAGATGGTGTATTGAGTTCGATATTAAAGAGCAGGGTGAAACTTGAAGTGGTGGAGGAATCCAAGTGGCAATGGTGTTTGTTAAGGACGAGAAGATGAGTATAGAAAGAGTTGAAAGGAAACACTTACTCAACAAATTTAACATGTGGGACACATAAATTTTGGAGGTGGAGGGATCAAGACACATAGGCAATTCATTTGAGTTAAAGAATAACCAAGAAATACTAAAGTTTGGAGTGGGAATCAGTTTGTGGAAGTGTATGGTCTAAGCCAAGGGTAACATAGGCATATATTTTTAAAAAGGAGAGGAAAATTTAATATGGGGGTAGGCATGTGTTTATTAGGTATACAACAAGGGCAATTGCATGAGACCAGTAGATGAGAGGAAGAAAGGCGAGATAATAATGCTAAACCTGTTCAACTATGTAAGGTGACGTCTTTTAGAGAGTCCATTGTGTCAGTGTTTGAGGTGGTATAGTGCGATGGAGATACCATTGGTAGACAGAAATTAGCAAGAGAGATGTATTCACCCCCATTATTAGAGTAGAGTTTTAATGTTTAATCAAAGTATTTTTCTACGATGGCTTTAATTGAAGAAGACATTTTTAACTTCTGACTTTTGCTTAGAAGGTAAAACTTAATATGTTTTGTGAAGTAATCAATAAAAATGACATAATTTAAAGCCGTCTGTGGGATTATTGGTGAAGTTCAAAATTAGAGAATATTATTTCAGAGTTTAGAAGAGACAAGTATAGAATTAGAAAAAAAAAAAAAAAAAAAAAGGACATTTGTAGCTTTATTACAAACATCATACAAGCAAAATAATATATCTTACAAATTAACAATACAAAGTAGAATCAGGAACGTTGTTGAGAATGAGAAATAAGAAAGTGAAAGAATTAATAGATAATAACAAAATTCCCTTTAAAATCACACAAAAACTCCAAGTAGTACGAAAAATCAGACTTAGTGAATACAACAACTTTTAAAGAAAACATTTTACAACATCTGACCCCAAACTTCTTATCTAAGAAACAGGAGGAGATAATGTCCATTGGTTTTAGTACCTCTCTGGAACTGAAACACAATGCCAACTCTTTCACGAGTAACTGTTCGAGGACTCATTTGTTGCCATCATTCCTATATTTTTAATGTAAATGGAACCCGATGTTGGTTTGCTTAGTCCTGCAAGAAGCTAGAGGGAAGGAAAGGACGCACACTCAGAATATAAAAAACAAGGGATTAACAATTGAACAGTAAGAACTCTGAAGAAAAAAACATTGAGGAGGGGTCAACCTGCAAGAAGTAGTTTTTTCACTTCCACTTCGTCCAAAAATCAAGCCAAAACTGCAGCAAATGACACAATACATTTAGTCCATGAACAGAAAGCACTTGCTTTGAAGCAACCATCTAACAGATATTGAGAATTCTGCCGCTAGCATATGTAGTTAAAAATATGATGTACAAGATGAGACAGGTTTTTTCAACATCTTATGCAAAAACATCACAAAATCTCCAACAATTTAACATGCAAATAGTAAGTATATCCAAATAGTTTAATAAAGTTGAAATTAAATTAAAACCATATAACATGCAAACGGTAAGTATAGCGCAAGAATCTTAGATGAACCAAACGTAAAAATATAATTTGTACATATATACAACATTTTAAAGAATATGTAACAATACACACCAAATAAAAACCAAATGATTATCTAGTCCAACATTTTAATGAATATTTACCAAATAAACAATGTAAACAATTTTAAAACAATCAATAACACATTTGTTTACAAAACTCAGATGAGAATAAAAAAAATACTTTTTCACAAATCCTCATATAACCATCGATTTAGGACATTATCATACTACATAACTTAACAAAGTGCAAGTACGCACAATATTGTAATAAAGCACTCATTTCACAAAGAAAGCAATGGTCTCAACAGTCGATTTCACAACATCAAAGAATCATGTCTTGCGGATCCTTTTGTTTGAATTGAGAGGCCGACGAGAGGCGATTAAAAAAGCCGGAGTATGCCCAGAGATATCTTTAATAGGTAAGAGAGACAACTAAAACATTGGAGTATACCCGGAATATTTTTAGATGAATTCAATTGTATTATATTGGATTTATTTTGAATTGTGAATACATCACCAATTTATACAAAAGTTTTGCTATACAATAAGGAAATAAATAATATAATTACACTCAATCAGGGGATTAATTGGTTGAGTGATTTTGGGTAATTGGCGTAATCTTAGTGATTAGCCACAATCATGGCATCATTTTTCATCACTCCCCCTCAAGCTTGGATTTGTATAGGTCATAAACTCCAAGCTGCGTAGTGGTGTGATATTGTCTACCATAGATATGGGATAAGTAATACCCAGAGGGAGCTGGAATGGTTTACAGACATAGTCAACTTCCAAATAGGAGGTTGAGTGAGACGGAGGGTCGTTGCTGAGGACTATCTCCAGGAAGGAATAGTGGGAGTCACGGGGAAGATGTTGGTGAGAAGTTGCCAGAAAGAATAACAGGAAGATTTTGTTATTGGTGGAGGTGTTTGTCTGCAAAACAAACCTCCACAACTTGGGAAATGCCAACAGTAGAACTCTCAATCGCTTATACTTGGTAAACCATGTGAGAAGCACAAAGCCTTGTCCTTTGGATATCTTAGTGCCTATGTGTCTAACAGGCTGAAGCAAACTTAAGGCTAGAGTGGTTGATTAGCAGAAGCTTGATTATGAAGAAGTTATCTAACTGATGCCTATGTGTCTTGCAGTTGAAGCAGAACTTGAGGCTATAGTGGCTGATTAGCGAAACACTTAATAACTCAGGATATTAGCACTGCAAAAATGATTCAATATACACCAAGAAAATTTCCAGGAATATTGGGAGAGTCACAAATGGTCTTACTTAAAACCCATTCTCGTTAGACTTTTATCGACTTGTTGACAAAATTTTCCTGGAAATGGATATATCCTATAACTAGCTACTCATTGTCCTAAACTTAGGCTAGAGTGGGTTGGCAAAGCTTGGAGATGACCATTGAAAAAAAAAACTAACTGAGTAATATGTTTGAGTTGTAAGGACCAAAAGAGAGGTTAGACCAGTATTGGTTAACTGAGTATCCGTTTGAATTGCAGGACAAAAAAGATAGGCTAGCTGAGCGAAAGCTAATTCACCTTGGAAGCTCTATACCATGTTAGAATTGAGAGGGCAACGAGGCAATTGAAGGAGTCGGAGTATGCCCAAGTGATATTTTTAGAGGGCAAGAGAGATGACTACAAGGTTGAGTATGCTCAAATATATCTTTAGATAATTTCAATTGTATCATAGTGATTTTTTGAATTGTGAATACATCACCTATTTATACAAAGTCTAGCTATCGAATAAGAAAACAAAATAATGTAATTACACTTAATAGAGAATTCTTGTTTTGTAATGTACCTTTTTAAATCTAAATGAATCGAATGTACCTTTTTAAATCTAAATGCATCGAACCTTGAGTATAATAAATTCGATACAACATATTTGTTCCTATGTATTCAAGCTCAATCGTTTCTTCTTCTCCTTACAATGATCTCATAATTAGGGGAGGAAAAACCGGTATGCCCCGAATGTGCCTTTTTACTACCAACCCAAGAATTGGGTTGTGTGAAAATGGTACTGGTAACCGAACTCGTTTATGCAATACCCGAATATGGGATAACCGAATTTCGGTTCGGTTACTAGGTACCCAAATGTAAAACCCGAATTTCCAATATTGCATCCAAACAAAATTTCAATATTTCTTCCACATTTTAATCAAACATAAAAGGTTATTAA